AGGGAGTGTCAGACTCTTACTGACTAAAAACCACCCCGTTCCTTCTCCTGCACGTCGAGCCGGAGCCCCGGTTACCCGTTAGGTTCTCCGCGACTCCGAATCGGCATCGGCCCTATTGGGCCCCATCTGTGGTGGTCTGATGGCTCTTTGAGGCGCGCGCGGAACGCGACGCGCCGTACGCTCGGGTCTGTTTCTGGTCGGACGGGGAGCCACCCATGCTCGCCGTCCGCAGGCCCGCGCTTACGGTGGCCGGAGATCGTCCCGCGATCCCCGACGCCCGGTGTGTCCTTCGCGATGGCTGGGTTGCGAGGAGGCAGCGCTTCGCTGCCTCACGCGTCCCGCCTCCTCCTTAGCTAGCATGACTGCTTCGCAAAAGGAGGAGACGGCATCCCAATCCCCCTCGCTCCGCATCATGGCCTGCACTAGGCCCGGACGCGAGAGGTCGCCATCGCCGATCACTTCCCTGAGGACACGGCGGTGCTCAGCCCACGAAGGGCATTCTCCCACCGTGTGTTCCACCGTGTCCTCAGGGCGGTCCTCGCAGTGATGACACCCGGGCGTTTCCTCCCGCCCCATCAGACACAGGTACCTCCCGAAACTTCCATGTCCGGTGAGGACCTGCGTCAGGCGGTAGGTGAGGACGCCGTAGCGTCTCTCAAGCCACTCCTCAAAGAGGGGACTTACCGCTGCAATGGCAGCGAGCCCAACGTGTACCGTATAGTTTTGTGAAACCAATAATATTTTTCCCAACCCAAGACCTGTTTAGCGATCTAGTCATAGTTGCGGCCAACTGAACCGACGAGGAAGTCATAACCTCTTACATTTCCAAAGTCGGCTAAAACTACGTAGTTTAAAATAACCGTATGTAGTAATTAATTTATTCTTAGACATGGACAGACAGACGACAACTTTGTACGTCGTGTGCGATCCGTAGTACATTCCGACCGCACTACTGTTCTATATATAGATCACAATACAATCAATTCTTGTTATTTCGTCTAGTCATAGTTTGTATAATTTTAGCTTCCCTAGCTGTTTGGCCAATTGCAAATCCTACTAATATTATAAATACAAAAGTTAGTAAGGATGTATGTTTTTTTTTATGGGATAAGCCGGTAAACGAGGTGACGGATCACCTAATGGTAAGTAATCGGCGTCGCCCATGGACACCTGGAACACCAGGAAGGATGTAGTCTCTTAGTAGACTCCTACGACACCTGTGGGAAGAGAAGGGGAGAAGACAAGCCCGCCACAACCTCCCGAAACCGTCGCACATCCTGTAAGCCAGGATCTACAGTAGAAACAACCATGAAAACACCGGAACACTGAAGTCCGACGCGTCCCAGATGAATAACTGTCTTGATTCCCGCAACGAAGTGAATCAGAAGTTATTATAAGAGGAGAAGAAAAAAGAGAAGAGGTAGTGTTAACTTCTGCTCGTCATCATTAGTCCGGAAGACTGCTGAATAATGGCTTCCCCTTTAGTCCTCCACTGTGAAGGACGGCTTGCCACTTCACTACTCGTGACTCTAAGAATGACGTCGTTCCATCCACCAGGAAGCCTGTCTATGCTTCATCTTCCATGGAGTCCACAGCTCCACTCGAGCACCTTCTTAGGAACAGGAACGGGATGGTTTTAGTCAGTAAGAGTCTAACACCTCTCGCCTCACCCACGGCGTGAGAAGAAATTGGATGATTTCCCCCCTTAAAAAAACCATCTACAGTCGGTACAGCTAGTACGCACACATACTCAAAACAAATAATAAAACGGTCTACAAACCCATATACAAATGTAATTAAACGAACAATCAAATTGTTCCCCAATAATATGAAAATTTTGGAACATTGCTGACAATTATGATCATTAATTTACCTACTAATGAAGTGAGATCCCATAGTACCCATGACCACGGCAACCTACCCCAATTAAAAGCAAAATTAACATTGTTTTGTATTTCATAATCATGCCCGTACCTATTGGAATCGTTTCGAACTCGCTAACAATACTCGATAGTACTTACATACAATAGGGATGATGACAGGGTATGAGAATTTAAAATGTACCAAATTAGTCCGTCAGTTAGGTAATGAAAAAATATTAGACACGTATTTTTTTATTTTGTTGTATAATAAAATGATACTTAGATATAACGAATCAAAGTGTAGGAGTGGGGGCTAAAACGTCACTTCTACGTATAAAATGTTCATAGAAGTGACGTCACGCGAGATTTTAAATCAATATATCTTCGAAACTATTCGTTTCGAGGCGAGAGGAAATGTTGGGATCTTACTAAATAAAAACTTTTTCTGCTATACAGCAGATTAGTTATTATTTAGATAGCCTCAGTTGCAACTCCAACAGGTTTGTCTAGACCTTACATACTACTTTCCAAAATTGAAAAATACAAAAATTCATTGACATCAAATACCTCATACTACATGAGCTAATTACCCACCACTAAACCATCTCCTAACTAAGAGTTACTTAACGTGAAAGAGCACCTACACTAACGTCTTACTTGTAGTATTAGATGTCTCTTACAGCTCAGTGAAATCCAAAAATGTCGTAAAGTGTCATTTTAGTTCAGGACTAACATAATGAGTGAAAACAAGAATATTGACAAATTTGCTTTTTCCAGTCTTTCAAATGACTAAGCGGCTTAGTTCTCAGACTTTAATCCTTTGAACTCAGCCATCGATCAAACTTTGCTACTGCATCAATGTATAGTTGAATTTTAGATATTATACCAATGTTGCGTTGTGCTTCGTCGTGTGACTGAGGTTACCGGAGGCCCAATTACCCTCTCCTTCCCCAATCTCCCCAGTTCCTGAATCCCCAACCATTCTCAAAATTACTAATCACCGAAGAGATAAAATGTTGAAAAGATTTAACATTATAACAAATGACATTTACGACCCTGTAGAGGAATGCCAGCCCTTTTTCATTAAAATAGCGAACAACCGTCTGTATAAGTATCAGCCATCAGATAATTGACTGGGTGACTGAACTACCAAAAATGTCAGGCTAGACCATCAGCCCATCAAACATTAGTTTCAGCTCAGCACCTAACGCGAACAAACAAGCAATCAATAGATGTATTATTACCAGATCATTAGCATCAGTAATCCGGCACATTAGTCCGCACGCACACTGGACGCCGCGTTAGGCTGGCCGCACACTGACCACCGTTAATTAATCAATATCTCGCAGCTGATTAATTGGTGCGACCGCGGGAATCGTTGGGATGCTGCCGACGGTATCGGAGGATGAAGGTTGTGGTGGATGAGGCATCTATATATAAGAGTATAGTATTAGGTATACCGTATGACCCACAGACCCTATCGACCACCAAATCAGACTGGCAAATGGGGATTGATTGGCCACACTCTTCCCCATCTAAGGGACATAGGAACTCAATTCAAGTACGTCAATGACCCACAGAACATATAAAGAAAGTATTACCTACGGTCTCTCTAGACCGTAAATAATACTTTTTTTAAACATGGGCCATGTCCATAGACGGTGCTGATCACTTAACATCAGGTGACCCTATGGATATGGTGATAGATTGGCCAAAATTAAAGCATTTATTTCAAGTAGTTCTCATCTTAAGTTACCTCAGTCATAATACAGTAGACTTCGAGCAAAGTTAGAAAATGACTTTACATGCCATTTTACTTAACGCAAACATGTTGTACTTAATTCTTTAAGAAATATGTAGTTTATTGTCTTAAATCTCCTGTGATATACCGCCTCTACCGGATCATACATCGATCAAAGTATTCTTGATAATGGCCTACCTACTTAAATGAGACACAACATATCATACTACTTAGTTGAGAACTTTTGACCAAATAAACTAAACAAAATACATTTCATAACTTCCACAATCACTTTATTCAATATTTTTGTACATGATCAATTTAAGTCAAAAGGATACATTATTGAAAAATTTATGTTAATAAAATTAATGATATGAAATTATATTTATTTACTGTAAATAGCGTAAATGACGATGGCTACTCTGCCAAGAAACATCAAGACCATTTTAGAGGTCAGATTCTTTTGAAATTGAGACAAAGTAAAATAAAATGATAAGACCGTGCAAGTTCATTCTGTAGTGGTATGTTTAAAAAGGACCACACTAGTTGGAGAAGGTCTACTCTGACAGCCAGCAGGCATGAGTCAATTAGCAATCAGCTCAACCAACGGGTGTTGCTACATGATGTGACAATCAATACCAACAAAAAGAGCATTTGAATAAAGGTCGCAAAATACTCAATCTGCGACAATCTCATAAATCTAGATAAACTTACACGATCTTAACAATAACGAATTGTAAAAAAAAATTACAAAATTAAGAACTGTGAAGAACAATAGACACACAAAATTAATAACCGTAATCTTTAGGTAGCGTTTTCTCACAGAAGAAAGCAAGCGGGACGTGGCACTGCACATCATCCATCGCTCCTTGTCTTAACAAACTACCACATCTTTGCCTAGCAGGATTACTTGGTTGTCCTCCATACCAGGTGCGACTCCAATGAATGTATGGACGCTTTCCATCCAATGTCAGCCACAGCCCATTTGAGTACTGCATCCCGATGAAAGCTTGATTATTCCATCGCCTGTACGCGCCAATGATAGGTGCCGCACTCCAGAATATTCGCTGCAATTTCTTTGGACAAAAAGAACATTAATTAAAATTTTCATTTTATGAATCATTAACTAAAAATCGCGGGTTACTCACGTGAAAATACTGAGAAAAACTCTACTAGTTTCGAACAGACAGAGGGGTTCTTCCTCATGATCAGCGCGCGGTCGTGGCGATGTCGCACAGCCTACTGAGTTGGCTTTTATCAGTATTTTCACGTGAGTAACCCGCAATTTTTAGTTAATTTAGTATGTCTCACGATAGTTAATATGAATCATTGTCTTATATATGTCACAGTTTTGATTATTTTAGTACATATATACCGCAACAGCAGCGAGTATAGTTCCCTAAGATTGGAAAAGTAGGATCCTCCGACCAGGGGAGGTGATCGGGGCTGGTGGGCTTTCTGCCCAACAGTTGTTCGTGGGGTTTTTCGCATGTACATTTTACATGTGCGATGTAGGATTTTTGGATGTCTCGCCACATCCCGCCGAACCGACCGGAGGTCGGTGCCAGAACCAGTGTAGATGTCCCTAGCTCCAGTGAGTCGGACCTGTGCCGCTGAATGCCCAGTGAGTCGGGTGAGCGGTGCAGGGTGAATCTCCAGTGAGTCGGAGAGATGAGCTCGCAGTGTCCCATGGTGAGTTGGGGAATAGATGCAGCGAGGGTAGGTCCATATTGGCTGGCATCTGCATTGACGGTAGCAGATGCCCTTCAGAACCCTGAGCAGAAGTGCTGTGCCTAGACGCTGGTGAGGCCGTAGGGAAGAACCAGACTGCACATCTTCGTTGCAGGCGATGGTGGTCCCTGATGAGGCTGAGGATGCAGGTTGGCTGGGACTTGATTACCGCTCAGCGGAGAAGTGATATGGATGAGAGGGATGGCGATGAGGATGACGGTGCTTATCTGCTCCGTGAAGGGAAAGTTGATTCCAATCATGTCGGAGTCACCACTTCAGCGAACAGCGAGTATAGTTCCCTAAGATCGGAAAAGGAGAATCCTCCGACCAGGCGAGGTGATCATCCCTGGCGGGCTACCCAACAGTTGTTCGTTAGGATTTTCTATCCATGTTGATTCGCATGTACACTTTACACGTGCGATGTAGAATTTTTGTGACGTCATCTGTTAACATGTGACATGTGTCGCCACAATGGCTATAGGCTCACCCCCTATTACATGGGCCTCCTAAAATAAATAGTAAAAAGTGGCTGTTACATTATACAGTGTCATTAAATGGTGTAATGTGCACCTCTGCCTACCCCTTCGGGGATAAATGCGTAATGATAATTGTCAGGAATGAACGGTTTTTTTTGTCGGTTGACTGCTCCCGCCTGGGTGAGGCGGAAGGGAGTGTCAGACACTTACTGACCAAAAACCACCTCGTTTCTTCTCCTGCACTTCGAGCCGGAGCCCCGGTAACCCGTTAGGTTCTCCGCGACTCGGAATGAATGGTTTTTTTTTTTTTAAGGGGGGAAAATCATCTAATGACTGCTCCCGCCTGGGTGAGGCGGAAGGGAGAGTCAGACTCTTACTGACTAAAAACCACCCCGTTCCTTCTCCTGCACGTCGAGCCGGAGCCCCGGTTACCCGTTAAGTTCTCCGCGACCGGAATGAATGGTTAGGACCTTAATTACATGACTTATTAAACAAGTTGTTTAGTAATACGAAGAATATTTTTTAAATCGTAGTCTTACTCATTCACTGCTGAACAAAAACATTTGGCACGTATTTTTTTATTTTGTCGTATAAGAAAACAATACTTAGATAAAAGCAATCAAAGTTTAGGAGTGGGAGATAGCTACGTCATTTTTGAGTATCAAAACGTACAAAAAAGTGACGTCACGCGCTATTTCAAGTCAATTCATCGTCAAAAGTATTTGTTTCCGTAAGAAAATATAAATCAGACGGACATTAAAACTAAAATTAGTTATCTTTCAATGAGGTACTTACATCCTCTACTGCCTTGGAGGTAACGACAGCAATTCTTCCACCTTCTCGTTGGCATATTAACTTGGCATTTTCGAAGGTTGCAGCATAGTTATGGAATGTATAAGTTACCTCATTCTGTGAACCCAGAACCACGGGTAAAATTATTAAAAGAATAAATTTGATCATTTTCAGAACAACTGTCACGATTGCACGACTGATGACTTAGAACTGTGGGAGCTGCTATGATGAGTTTCCTTTATATGGGATTTGTAATCACTTTTTGGTGACTACATCATTGTCGCATGTTACATGCATTAGAGTAAATAACAGTTGCAAAATAAAGCTAATTTTAACTAAATTAGGTATAGATTTGTTGATTTCAACATACATTTACCTCAAAATAGGAACGTTTATTATATAATTAATGTAAATACTAAATATTTAATAAATACAAGGAAAAATAATAAATTCAAGTGTGGGAGAGCCATGCTTCGGCACGAATGGACCGGCTCGACCGGAGACTGCCTCCATGGCCGAGTAGTAGCAAGTGCGACTGCCGGCCAAGGAGGCTCAGGTTTGATTCCCGGGTCGGGCAAAATATTACTAGGTTTTTAAAAAATCTGAGTGATAGCAGGGAGTCTGGTATTGCGCCCGGTATATAGCAATAGGTTCACCCCCTATTACATAGGACTCATAACATAAAATAGTGAAAAGTGGGTGTTACATTGTACAGTGGCATTAAGTTTGAACCCTGCTTTGCCATCTGGTTAATGGTTATAGAAGAGATAAAATTTTGAATAAAAAGATTCAACATTACCTATAACAAGTTAAATATACAGCCCTGTAGAGGAATGAAAGCTAAAATAACTGACTAGGTACTGAACTACCAAAAATGTCAGGCTAGACCATCAGCCCATCAAATATTAGTTTCAGCTCAGCACCTAACGCGAACAAACAAGCAATCAATAGATGTATTATTACCAGATCATTAGCATCAGTAATCCGGCACATTAGTCCGCACGCACACTGGACGCCGCGTTAGGCTGGCCGCACACTGACCACCGTTAATTAATCAATATCTCGCAGCTGATTAATTGGTGCGACCGCGGGAATCGTTGGGATGCTGCCGACGGTATCGGAGGATGAAGGTTGTGGTGGATGAGGCATCTATATATAAGAGTATAGTATTAGGTATACCGTATGACCCACACAACCCATCGACCACCAAATCAGACGTCGCAAATGGGGATGGATAGGCCACACTCTCCAAAGAAGTCCCGACTACATACCTAAATAAGCCATGGGTTATTTCGGCGGCCGCGAAAGCCGCAGGTGGACAACGGAATGACATGAAGCGAGGTGAAGCGTGAAGCTCAAGACCGATCGAGATGAAGGAGCTCTGTGGACGCCCTCTGCCCCACCTAGGGGACATAGGAACTTAAGTCAAGTAAGTCATGACCTACAGAACGTGTAAAGAAAGTAATACCTACGGTCTAGAAATAAACATGGGCCATGTCCATGGACGGTGCTGATCACTTAACATCAGGTGACCCTATGGATTCTCGTGGAGTTACATGCGCAATACTGGCCTTTGGTGAAGGATTGGCCAAAATCAAAGCATTTATTTCAAGTAGTTCTCATGTTAAATTACCTCAGTCTTAAATGGTACAGTAGACTTCGAGCAAAGTTTAGAAATTAGGACTTTACATGTCATCTGCCATTTTACCTAACGCAAACATGTTCTACTTACTTCTTTAAGAAATATATAGTTTATTGTCTTAAATCTCCTGTGATATACCGCCTCTACCGTATCATACATCCATCAAAGTATTCTCGATAATGGCGGAAATTCCACGCCAGATGCGTACGGAATCCAAAAACTTTGCGCCCATAGCAATGTGGGGCTCGCTCTGTTCGGCGCCGACCTGTCTGTGAATACTTGCTTGATTTACTACCTCTATTTAAACACCAGGAAACGTCACTGGACACCGTCCTTTTGGTAGTTAAATAACTTAATAGAATGTTTGTTTACTAAGAAGGCTTACTCACAGAAAACCGACGTGGAGCAACGCTTGCGTTGTGTTTCGTCGTGTGAGTGAGGTTGCCGGAGGCCCAAATACCTTCCCCTTCCCCAATCTCCCCAATCCCTAAATCCCCAACGATCCTCAAACTCCTAATCCCCAAAAAGCCGGTGACGCACTTGTAACGCCTCTGGTGTTCCAGGTGCCCATGGGCGACACCGATTGCTTACCATCAGGTGATCCGTCTGTTGATTTACCGGCTTATGCCACAAAAAAAGGCCTGGTGCCATGGCCGTGGTGGCCACCTCGGCGATTTTAGTGAGTTTTTTCCCTAAATAGCGACTGCGTTTTGCCTTTTTGTTTCCCGCCTCAAAAAAATATGTCGCTTTACCTGGTTGCCTCGTTGATTAAAATATTTATTAATTGTTAAGTTTTCTAAAATGCTCTTTTAATAATTAATTGGCTAGCTCACGTGAACTATTTGAGAAAATTCGAGTTTGAAGTCATACTGGGACTCATATATTTAATAGCAGTAAGCATGGCGTAGCGACGTCTGCGTCATAACATTTTTCATTTATGAATTCAAGATAATATAAATTTTCCATCCTAATTTTCACATGAAATTATAATTATAGGTTTACGGAATTCTGTTAAAATGATACAAGCAGAGCTTTGACAAATGACCACCACTACAACCAGTTAATTGGGTCATTTAAAATTTATCATCAACGTTGATTGTTCAGCGACCAATTTATTTTGAACCGCATTATGTATGAAAATTGTACCTACGTATGTTTTAAATTTTTTTTTCGGTGTTTCTAAATTTTTGTTGTGTGTCGTAGCAAAATAAATGGTTTTTCTTTCTTTCTTTCTTTCTTTTCTTTCTTTCTTTTAGTATTTAGGTGGGTCTTGTTAGTATTAGCGTAAACTGATATGAAGATTTTAAATAAAAGGTTACTTTTAGGCCATATAAAATATGTCGAATTTTTATATACATACATAATGCCACGCCTGTCTCCCATGGGGGGAGGCAGAGACTACGGAACACTTTCGCTTCATCAACAGTCATCAATCTTTTCATGCATGCTCGTTGGTTAAGGGTACTTTTAATTTATCCCTTCTTTAATATATCACCAATCTGGTCAGTATATATCTAGGGCCGTCCGTAGAGTGCACCCTAGACGGACATATTATTTTTAAACGATTTATAGTCTAAAATTTACTTTGTATCTAGACTTGGGGTTTATGACGTCGTGTTGATCACTAGTTGTGTGTTCACAACAACTCAACTAATAAAAAAGAAAAACGCGTTTGTATATCTGGATGAACACAATGAAAACTGCTTAACAGACCATCGTAAAATTTTCACCAATAGTGAGAACCCTAAGGAAGGTTTAGACCAAATTAAGTCTGTCAATTCAAGCAACACAAACAACAAACTCAGCCCTAGCTCATCGCTTCCATACCAAGCCGAACCGTGTGAGGTTCACCTCACACCAAGACACGACGCGAAGCAAAGCTTCACATACACTAACCACTAAAAAAACTACTTTATTTTCTACACGAAAAGATACACATTTCCTGCGATGCGTCTCCCAACATTGAGTACTGCGAAATGTCGTTGCGTCGCGTCGCGGTTTTGGTGTGAATTGACCCTATAAGAAAAACAGACAGCAGGAATACAGACGCACGCTGGTTAAAACTTTTAACGAGAATCAGGATTCTAACAAAATTGCCTTCAGGGACGATCGTACACTTTTTAAAGTGTAAGTATGACAAGTTATTTCATATACATATAAGAAAACAAATAGTAAAAAAACACGCTTGTGATCACTACGGCTCCGTCATCAGAAAACGAAGATACATATTATATTGAGCCTAAACTCGATGTTATGTTTGCTATATAGTAGATTTTAAGCGCACAGTTGGCGTGGTGGATTGGCAACCGACAGCCACTCAACGTACAGCAGGTTCGATTTCCGCACGGAGCAACTCTTTGAGTAATCTACTAATTATTATTATTCTGAGTTTAAATGTATATTTTTATATGTGAAATTGTATGTTTGTAAACGCACCCACAACACAGATTCTAGAGTATAGATCCAAGGTTTAATTTTAAAAGAAAGTTTTAATTTTTCCTCGAGTTTCATATTATCATATCCTTCAATATTTCTATCCCCATTTCAGTAACGTTCAGCCACAAATGTGTCCGGCACGGAAACCGTTGTCGTGTCGCAAATGTGGGCCAGTACTTAGTAACTTTATAGCCACTTAAGATTGCAAGAAGCGTTATTTAATCTGTGCCCCAGCTTATAATGGTTTTAATAGTATAGTCAAAATTGTAGTACATCATTTAGTGGCTTCTGGTATAGTCAAAATTACAGTACATTATTTAGTGGGAGAGCCATGCTTCGGCACGAATGGGCCGGCTCGACCGGAGTGATACCACGGCCCCACTGAAGACCGACGTGAAGCTTGTGTTTCGTCGTGTGAGTGAGGTTACCGGAGACCCAATTACCCCTCTCCCCTTCCCCTATCTCTGAATCCCCAAAATGCCGGTAACACACTTGTAACGCCTCTATGTTTGTCGGTGTTCCAGGTGTACATGGGCGACGCCGATTGTTTACCATCAGGTGATCCAGCTTATGCTTTAAATAATATTATTCAAAAATATATTTTAAGTTGTCATGACGTATATTTCATAACGTCAGTGGTCAGCACGTGGTCCATCCATGTCTTTTAATAGATATCATTTAAGTTACTATGTATAACATTATCCCACAACAAATTGGGGCTAGTCCCCATAATAACAGATGATAGTCATCAACAGAGCTTTCTAGCGACATACATCTGCCCGTCATCCTTTTAAGGATATGTACCTACTTAGATGAGACACAACATATCATACTACTTAGTTATGAACTATTGACCAAATAAACTAAACAAAATACATTTCATAACTTTCACAATCACTTTATTCAATATTTTTGTACATGTTCAGTTGAAATCAAAGAGATACATTATTGAAGGATTTATATTAAAATTAATGATATGAAATTATATTTATTTACTGTAAATAGCCTAAATGACGATGGCTACTCTGACAAGAAACATCAAGACGATTTTAGATGTCAGATTCTTTTGAAATTGAGACAAAGTAAATTAAAATGATAAGACCGTGCAAGTTCATTCTGTAGTGGTATGTTTAAAAAGGACCACACTAGTTGGAGAAGGTCTACTCTGACAGCCAGCAGGCATGAGTCAATTAGCAATCAGCTCAACCAACGGGTGTTGCTACATGATGCGACAATCAATACCAACAAAAAGAGCATTTGAATAAAGGTCGCAAAATACTCAATCTGCGACAACCTCATAAATCTAGGTAAACTTACACGATCTTAACAATAACGAATTGTAAAAAAAATGGTGAAAAGTTAAGAATTTGAAGAACAATAGACACAAATTAAACATCGCAATCACAAGGGAGTGTTTTCTCACAGAAGAACGCAAGCGGGATGCCACACTGCACATCATCCATTGCTCCTTGCTTTAACAAACTACCACAGCTTTGCCAAGCAGGGTTACTTGGTTGTCCTCCATACCAGGTGGTACTCCAATTAATGTATGGAGCAGGCTTGCCATCCAATGTCAGCCACTTGCCATTTGTGTAATGCATCCCGATGAAAGCTTGTTTATCCCACCCCATATACGCGTTTTTGATAGGTCCTGCACTCCGGAATATTTGCACCAATTTCTTTGGACAAAAATAATATTAATTAAAATTTTCATTTTATGAATCATTAACTAAAAATCGCGGGTTACTCACGTGAAAATACTGAGAAAAACTCTACTAGTTTCGAACCACAGACAGAGGGGCTCTTCCTCATGATCAGCGCGCGGTCGTGGCGATGTCGCACATCCTACTGAGTTAGCTTTTATCAGTATTTTCACGTGATTAACCCGCAATTTTTAGTTAATTTAGTATGTCTCACGATAGTTAATACGACTCATTATCATACATATGTCACAATTTTGGTAACTTTAGTATATAGAGGTACGGCACCCAACTAGCTTAATACGTCATTCAATTAACAGTCATGCACCTTTAATAAATGTTTAATGACTACCTCGCTGGCCGAGTGGTCGCAAGTGCGACTGCCGGGAAAGTGCTCTCGGGTTGATTCCCGGGTCAGGTAAATTATTAACCTGTAAAGTGTCGGAACGCACAGAAATAATGTGTTTTCTATTGTGTGTTATCGACAGACAAGAGGTTAATGCCTTTTAAAAAAAATCTCAGTAGTAGCACGGAGTCTGGCATTGTGCCCGGTATATGGCAATAGGCTCACCCCCTATTACATGGGCCTCCTAACATAAATAGTGTAAAGTGGATGTTACATTGTACAGTGGCATTAAGTGGTGTAATGTGCACCTCTGCCTACCACTTCGGGGATAAATAGAAGACAGGGATAAGAGAAATCAAATTATCGTCAGGAATGAACGGTTAGGACCTTAATTGCATGACTTATTAAACTAGTTGTTTAGTAATACGAAGAATAAATTTTGAATCATAGTCTTTCTCATTCACTGCTGAACAAAATGCAATAACTAGTAATATATTAAAATATTTTTAAGGTTAAACGGTTTTAATTAGCTCTATTGTACCAAACAAACCTTTTTGTTAGAAATCCATAATAGGGGTAGTTGTAGAAAACAATCGGTTATTACTTGGCCATCAGGGTTAAGAGGATGTACCAAATATCAGATCGATCTTATATTCAGGAAAGGGTTAAAATTACAACACGGATGCTGATAGGGTATGACAACTAAAAATCTAATCAACCGTCAGTTAGGTACCTAATAAAAATGTTTGTCGCGTATTTATTTTATTTTCTCGTATAAGAAAACAATACATAAATAAAACGAATCAATGTTTAGGAGTGGGAGCTAGCTACGTCATTTTTGAGTATCAAAACGTACACAAAAGTGACGTCACGCGCTATCAAGTCAATATATCGTCAAATGTATTTGTTTCCGTAAGAAAATATAAATCAGACGGACATTAAAACTAAAATTAGTTATATTTCAATGAGGTACTTACATCCTCTACTGCCTTGGAGGTAACGACAGCAATTCTTCCACCTTCTTGTTTGCAAATCTTCTTAGCATCCTCGAAGGTTGCAGCATTGGTATGGAATGTATAAGTTACCTCATTATTTGGAATAGGTTTTGGTGCCGGGGTCGGTACTGGCTTCGGTGCCGGGGTCGGTACCGGCTTCGGTGCCGGTATCGGTACCGGCTTCGGTGCCGGGGTCGGTACTGGGATCGGTGCTGGGATCGGTGCCGGGGGCGGTCCCACGATCACTATCGGGGCCGGTGCCGGGGCCGGTGCCGGGATCGGTGCCGGGATCGGTGCCGGGATCGGTGCCGGGATCGGTGCCGGGGTCGGTCCCACGATCACTATCGGGGCCGGTGCCGGGATCGGTGCCGGGATCGGTCTCGGGATCGGTGCCGGGGCCGGTATCAGGATCGGTACCGGTGCCCGGTACGGGGGCGGGAAAAAGAATGTACCCAGAACCACGGGTAAAAATATTAAACAAATTAATTTGATCATTTTCAGAACAACTGTCACGATTGAACGACTGATGACTTGGAACTGTGGGAGCTGCTATGATGAGTTTCCTTTATATAGAATTTGTAATCACTTCTGGGTGACTACATCATTGTCGCATGTCACACGCAGTAGGCTACAAAAATCATGAAATAACTACATATATCTGGATTGTACTTGTTGTATTCTAAGTGTATGTACAGATATGTATTATGGTACATACCTTTATAATATACAGGATGTCCCAAATGTTTCTGATTTTAAGTATCAATTAATAGTTTTTATAATAACTATCGTGAGACATGATAAATTAACTAAAATCGCGGGTTACTCACTTGAATATACGGAGGAAAGACCAGGATGTTCAACCAGTGTGTGTTGCCGGTGATGACGTATGGTACTGAGACGTGGTCCCTGACCTCTGGCCTTCTGGAGAAGCTCAAAGTCGCTCAGCGTGCGATGGAGAGAGCTATGCTCGGGGTTTCTTTGCGTGACAAAGTCCGAAATATAGAGATTCGCCAAAGGACAAGAGTTACCGAGATAGCTCGCAAAATCTGCAGACTGGAGTGGCAATGGGCAGGCCACGTCGCTCGAAGGACTGACGGCAGATGGGCCAGGAAAGTCCTTGAGTGGAGACCACAGACCGGAAGAAGAAGCGTGGGCAGGCCTCCCGCTAGGTGGACCGACGACATCGCCAGAGTTGCGGGGAGCCAGTGGATGCGGGTGGCGAGTTGTCGTTAGACGTGGAGGGCTAAGGGGGAGGCCTTTGTCCAGCAGTGGACGTCTTCCGGCTGTTGATGATGATGATGAAGTTATTTCATAGATATACATGAAAACAAATAGTAAAAAAAAAGAAAACACGCTTGTGATCATTACGTCTTCGTCATCAGGAGATGAAGATATATATTATAATGAGCCTGTCTAACCGTCATGTAATTGGCATGTATGGAACCCGCGATTCAGAGAACAAAAGTTCTAGCATTCGTCCATAGATGGTGCTTTTTATTTGAGATCGTTTTCTGAATCGCGGTGTTAAGATTCGCCGCCAATAGTATAAGTGTCTGAAGAATTAATTTGATGTTAGTGTCAATTCTATCACTTGCTATTGTATCATTTGATTCATTTGGTAATCTACTAATTATTTTTCTGGGTCTGGGTGTTATTATGTGAAATTGTATGTTTGACAAACATACTTCTTCACATATGTTTGTAAACGCACCCACGATAGTAAGATACATCCTAGGGTAGGCCAAGGTTTAAAAAAAACTTTCATTTTTCCACGAGTTTCATATCATATCCTTCGATATTTCTATCCCCATTTCAGTAACGTTCAGCCACAAATGTGTCCGGCACGGAAACCGTTGTCGCGTCGCAAGTGTGGGCCAGTACTTAGTAACTTTATAGCCACTTAAGATTGCAAGAAGCGTTATTTAATCTGTGTCCCAGTTTATAATGGTTTTAATGATAAAGTCAAAATTGCAGTACATTATATAGTGGCAGAGCCATGCTTCGGCGCGAATGGGTCGCCTCGACAGGAGTGATACTACGGCCTTACAGAAGACCGACGTGAAGTAACGCTTGCGTTGTGTTTCGTCGTGTGATTGAGGCTACCGGCGGCTCAATTACCCCCCTCCCCTTCCCCAATCTCTGAATCCCCTAAAGGCTGGTAACGCACTTGTAACGCCTATGTGTTTGTCGGTGTTCCAGGTATCCATGGGCGACGCCAATTGCTTACCATCAGGTGATCCGGCTTATGGTATAAAAAATAATTATAAAAAAAATATTTTAAGTCGTCACTTAAATATGAACTTTTAATCGAATGCCGTATAATATATTTCACAACGTCAGTGGTCAGCACGCGGTCCATGCCTTTTAATAGATATCATTTAAGGAACTGTAACATTATCCCACAACGAATTGAGACTAGTCCCCATAATAACAGATGATAGTCATCAAACGAGCTTTCCAGCGACGTACATCTGCCCGTCATCCTTTTAGGGATTTATCTTTTCTGTGATATGTCCCTACTTAGATGAGAACTTTTGACCAAATAAACTAAACAAAAAACATTTCTTAACTTTCAAAATCACTTTATTTAATAATTTGGTACATGTTCAGTTTAAGTAAATGAGATACATTATTGAAGGATTTATATTAAAATGTATGATATGAAATTATATTTATCTACTGTAAATAGTCTAAATGATGATGGCCACCTCTTATCTGGCTACACTGACAAGAAACATCAATACCATTTTAGAGGTAAGATTCTATTGAAATTGAAACAAAGTAAACTATAATGAAAAGACCGTGAAAGTTCATTCTGTAGTGGTCTGTTTAAGAAGGACCACACAAGTTCAAGAAGTTCTACTCTGACAGCCAGCAGGCATGAGTCAATTTGCAATCAGCTCAACTAACGGGTGTTGCTAAATGATCCGAACTACACCAACAAGCATTTAAATAGAGGTCACAAAGTACTCAAAAATAATATAATAAACTCACACGATCTTAACAATAATGAATTGTAAAAAAAATTTATAAAAAGTTAAGAATTTGAAAAACAATAGACACAAAAAATTAAACATCGCAATCACAAGGTAGCGTTTTCTCACAGAAGAAAGCAAGCTTGACATTACATTGCACATCATCCATTGCTCCTTGTTTTAACAAACTACCACAGCTTTGCCAAACAGGGTTACTTGGTTGGCCTCCATACCAAGTGGTACTCCAATTAATGTATGGAGCAGGCTTCCCATCCAAAGTCAGCCACTTCCCATTTGAGTAATGCATCCCAATGAAAGCTTGTTGATCCCATCCCATGTACGCGTTTTTGATAGGTCCTGCACTCCGGAATAGCTGCAGCATTTTCTGGAGAAACAGAACATTAATTAGAATTTGCATTTTATTTTAACTATATTTTAACTAAAAATTGCGGGTTCCTCACGTTAAAATACTGAGAAAACCTCTACTAGTTTCGAACCACAAAGGGGTTCTTCCTCATGATCAGCGCGCGGTAGCGGCAATGTCGAACAGCCTACTGTGTTGGCTTGTATCAGTATTTTCATGCGAGTAACCCATAAGTTTTAGTTAATTTAGTATGTCTCACGATAGTCATTACGAATCATTGTCTTATATATGTCAGAATTTTGATAACTTCAGTATATACCGCAGGCAACTAGCTTAATACGTCATTCAATTAACAGTCATGCATCTTTAATAAATGCTTAATTACAGCATCGCTGGCAGAGTGCTCGCAAGTGCTCTCGGGTTCGATTCCCGGGTCAGGTAAAGTATTAACCTGTGAAGTGTCGGAACGCACAGACACAAAGTGTTTTCTATTGTGTCTTATAAACAGACAAGAGGATAATTCGTTTTTTTTTTAAATCTCAGTAGTAGCACGGAGTCTGGCATTGTGCCCGGAATATGGCAATAGGCTCACCCACTATTACATGGGCCTATTAAGTGGGTGTTACATTGTACAGTGGCATTATGTGGTGTAAGGTGCACCTCTGCCTATCCCTTCTTGGATAAATAGAAGACGGGAATAAGAGAAATCAAATTATCGTTAGGAAGGTTAGGACATAAATTATACATATAAATTATTTACTTTACCTTTTTTAATTTATTTGAATTGTTTCCAATAATAATAATACAAATTTCAATATATTTGTTCTTTAATTAGACATAAATTAATACTGTTAATACATTTTTATATTTCTACACCGGTGACGGTAGTATGTGCGGAACTTTGTTAATTTTAAGATCTGTGTGCACCATGTACTGAGAAATGAATGACATTCATTCATTCATTCATTCATTCACTACATGACTTATTAAACTAGTAGTTTAGTAATACGAATATTAGTTTTTAAATCGTAGTCTTCCTCATTCACTGCTGAACAAAATGCAATAACAATTAATACATAAAGACATTTTTAAGGTTAAACAGTTTAAATTAGGTCTATTCCACCAATCAAGCCCTTTCGTTGGAAATCCACAATAGGTGTACTTATAGAAAACAGTCGGTTATCATATGTCTACTGTGACTGTCCATCAGGTACCCCTAAAAATATAAACAAAAGGCATCCCAATGTTTTAGAGTATTGACTTTCCAATGAACCACGTGTTAAGTCATTCATTTTATATTTTATGGGAGCCCGTCTAGAAATAACTAATGGGCAATTGAGTTGTAACTTGTTAAATGATCTTTAAGAATACGTGGAGCCGTTAGGCGTACAACACAATACCAAACGCCACATCTGGTTGCAATAATACTGACCTGCGAAAGGTCCCTAGAAACAATTAAGATATTGCACAAAAGGTGTCATAAAACCCGGACTGCAGGGGTCTGGGGAAGGGCTTTTGGTGAGGGGATGTTACAAATGTTATGGAAACGAGAGGACACTTACTCTTGGACTGCGGAGACGGAAGGTTGTCTAAGATAGACTAGAACTGATCCTAAGGATTTGGCAACACAAAGTAAATTCAGTGTGTAGTGTGGAAGTCTGGTGAGTAGCAGCGTGAAAGCAGTGAACGGGTATGTGATTGTGGTTTTATTATAGGCTAGGGTTTTATCCTATCTCTGTCTTTATTCCTTTTAACTGAATCGGAATATTACCTTCCACTGTATCAGCTTGTTGTATGCGCACTCCCGGGTTTTGCTTAAAATAAGCTATGCTTAGGCTAGTCCGTGAAGGACGGTAGGGTGAATATATAAGTGCCTCGTCTTAACCTAACAACGCCGTAATGGCCATGCTATATCTAAACTCTTCGACGACATATATTATGGTGAGCGAGACACTCGTTTAGAAATGGGGAATGGGTTGAGGAGGTACATACGCAGGACCATCAGTTGTTGGTATTATTCCTTTGCATGTCCGGAGTGTGCTCCTGTGAGTGCACTGCCTTCCCTTTCCCTTTGCTGCCCTCTTATTTCACTAGTAATGTAAATAATTTAGAATATATCCTTTCCCCGTGAATTCCCACTTGACCCTTTGTATTTGCTTTTAATGATATAAATAACATAATGAATGAATTAATAAAACAAGTTATGTTATTTATTGGGAATTCATTACCCATCCCGTGAAACGTCAGAATCGGTGGGAGAGTGACCAGTAGATGGACGAGCTCTACAGAGCTGGGCGGATGGAGGAGCCCAGTTCCTTACCCATTTCCCACGAAAGGGTAAGCCGATATCAACCCCTCCTTGATTTAGGAAAAACTCAAATTTCATCCAGCCTAGGGTCGGTTAGAAACAGTCACACTACCATGGTTAAGAGGGTGTACCAAATAACAGATCGATTTATGTATAGTCAGGAAAGGGTTAAAATTACAATACGGATGCTGGTAGCGTATGACAATTCAAAATCTAATTAGTCCGTCAGTTAGGTACCTAATATAAAAATATTAGACACGTATTTTCTTTATTTTATCGTGTAAGAAATCAATACTTAGATGAAACGAATCAAAGTTTAGGAGTGGGAGATAGCTACGTAATTTTTGAGTATAAAACGTACACAAAAGTGACGTCACGCGACATTTCAAGTCAATATACGTCGAAAGTATTTTGTAAAAAATATGTGTATAATATTTTTAAATAATCTACCATTAAAATAAAAATTTGTTATGTACTTCATTAGTAACTTTGGCATTAACAAACAAACGAGTCAAGCTAAATAAAACTGTTAAATAGGTACTTACATCCTCTACTGCCTTGGAGGTAACGACAGCAATTCTTCCACCTTCTTGTTTGCAAATCTTCTTAGCATCCTCGAAGGTTGCAGCATTGGTATGGAATGTAAATATTACCTCGTTCTTTTGTGGTTCTTTATTTGGAATAGGTTTTATTGGGGTTGGTGCCGGGGTTGGTACCGGCTTCGGTGCCGGGGTTGGTACCGGCTTCGGTGCCGGGGTCGGTACCGGCTTCGGTGCGGGGGTCGGTACCGGGACCGGTGAGGGGGTCGGTACCGGCTTCGGTGCCGGGGTCGGTGCCGGGGTCGGTATCGGGACCGGTACCGGGGGCGGGCGCAGGAATGACCCGAGAACCACGGGTAAAAGTATTAAACAAATTAATTTGATCATTTTCAGAACAACTGTCACGATTGAACGACTGATAACTTGGAACTGTGGGAGCTGCTATGATGAGCTTCCTTTATATAGGATTTGTAATGACTTCTGGGTGACTACATCATTATCGCATGTAGTAGGCTACAAAAATCATGAAATAACTACATATATGTGGATTATACGTGTTGCATTCTAAGTGTATGTATACCTTTATAATATACAGGATGTCCCGAATGTTTCTGATTTTAAATATCAATTAATAGTTTTTATAATAACTATCGTGAAACATAATAAATTAACTAAAAATCGCGGGTTACTCACGTGAATATACCGAGAAAAGCTCTACTAGTTTCGAACCAAAGAGGGGTTCTTCCTCATGAGAAGCTTGCGCGGTCGCGGCGACGTCCCGCAGCTCAGTGAGCTGCAGAACCCATCTGTGGTTCGAAACTAGTAGAGCTTTTCTCAGTATATTTACGTAAGTAACTCGTGATTAAATTGTGCTGCTTTTTTTTTCAAATAATGATCAAACTTACATCTTTATCAAATACTAGCTACTCTCAGCTCGTATTCATCATAGCGGGATGTTTTATACTCTATCTCTATAGCCATCCTCAATAAATGGACTATGCTAAATAAAACGAATTATTAAATTCGAACCCGTAATTCTGGAGATTAAACTGTCAAACACCAAGCGGTCACCGGTGACCGCAACCTATTGTTCTATAATTGTGTCTACAAAACCGGTACTCGACGAGTTAAAGCGTCCAAACTAACAAAATCTTTGCTTTTATACACCGTAATTTTTTTTCCATTTTCGATCCGCTGCAAAATAACTTGCTATAAGGAGTACTTTTGATGTATTAGATACTGTTCTTCTTTCTTCTTGACGTGATGTTTTAATAATAAGTACATATATACTATAAGTTTGTATGCGCTTTCGAAGTTTGCTTTTTGCAAAGGTTGTGAGATTATTGTATTACATAGACAGAACCAATTTAGTTCGGGACGAAAACGAAATAGATTTCATGGTGTATAAGGGCTTTAAAGGGGTAACATCATCAAATGACTTCTCCCGCCTGGGTGAGACGAGAGGGAGTGTCAGACTCTCACTGACTAAAAACTACCCCGTTCCTACTCCTGCACTTCGAGCCGGAGCCCCGGTAACCCGTTAGGTTCTCCGCGACTCCGAGTTATATTGAGACATTAAAAATCCACATATAGACTGTACTCAGTTATAATCAACTCTCTCTCTTCATGTCGATCCATGTCTTCATAGACACCCTGTATATCAAATTTTTCCTGTTTTTCATAAATTAATTTCATCAGGTAACCAGGTAAACAATTGTTGCAAAATGAGGCTAATTTTAACTAAATTAGGTATCAATTTGTTAACTTCAACATACATTTACCTCGAAATAGGTAAGTTATTTATATTAATAATATATACTTAATGTGAATATTAAATAAGTATTTAATAAATCAACGTAAGAGAAAACTAGGTATATAAATGACAAATAATAAATTAAATACATGAAATGATAATATTATTCATATTGACCAAATAACAAATAGTACCAAAGTGCTAGATTAAATTTATTTTTACATAGAGGTAAATAAAATAACTGCCTCGTTGGCCGAGCGGTCGCAAGGGCTACCGGGCAAGGCGTCTCGGGTTCGTTTCCCTGTAAAGTCGTCGGGAAAAGTATTAATGGGTTTTTAAAAAAATCTCAGTGGTAGCACGGAGTCTGGAATTGTACCCGGTATATGGCAATAGGTTATGAGTCCCATGTAATAGGGGTTACATGGGACTCATAACATAAAATATTGAAAAGTGGGTGTTACATTGTACAGTGTATATATTAAAAAATCGCATCAAAATCTATTGCATAGTTTTAAAGATCTAAACATACATAGGGACAGACAGACGGTGGATAGCGACTTTGCTTTCTACTATGTACCACTATCATAGATATGATAAGGAAATTTTTAATATTTCTGTGATCACTACATACGTTGTTCTTCTTAACTTAGTAATGTTATAAATACGATAGTTTCTGTGTCTGTGTGTATTTTTGTTCATAGATAAAATAATTTCTGTGACGTTTGTTACTCAGCCGGTAAGTAGACGCACGGCTGGTGCGGTGGCTGGGCAACCGACTGCCGTGCAACGTGTCGCAGGTTCGATCCCGCACGGAACAACACTTTGTGTGATCCACAAATTGTTGTTTCGGGTCTGGATGTCATTGTGTATGTGAACTTGTATGTTTGTAAACGCACCCACGACACAGGAGAAAATCCTAATCAGGGGCAACATTTATTAAAAAAAAAAACTACTTTTTTCTCACGAGAATGCGAGCGAAGTCACAGACAGAAACTAGTAAAATAATATAATAATCAAATGAAATGGCAAGTAGTCTGTGTGTATGTTTATTCATAGATATAACAATTTCTGTGATGTTTATTACTTAGCCACGTCAAAATGGCTGAAGGGATCGGGATGAAGTTTGGAATAGGGATAGATTATGTATCTAAAATAACACATAAACAAGTTTTTGTCTCACGAAAATGCGAGCGAAGTCACAGAGAGAAGCTAGTAAAATAATATAATAATCAAATGAAATGGCAAGTAAAGAGTTGGGCTAGGAAATTGGGTCAGTCGGCCTCTGACTGATGAATATCATTACTGAGAAACGTAACTGCCTAACCATATTTTATGTTATTGGTTTCGCTACTACGCTACGAACTAAAGGGATAGGGTGGGCTCGATGAGACCTCCAGCCTGAATTGAGTAATGTTGGATTATATATTTATACGAAAGATTAAGATAAAACTGACTACCTCGTTGGCCGAGAGGTCGCAAGTGCGACTGCCTAGCAAGGGGTCTCGGGTTCGATTCCCGGGTCGGGCAAAGTATTACTGGATTTTTAATTCTCAGTAGTAGCACGGAGTCTGGAATTGTGCCCGGCATATGGCAGTAGGCTCACCCCCTATTACATGGGACTCCTAACATGAATAGTAAAAAGTGGGTGTTACATTGTACAGTGGCATAATTAGGCATCCGGTAACCGCACTCACACGACGATACACAACACAACGTTGTTTCACGTCGGTGTTCTGCTCGGCCGTGGTATCACTCCGGTCGAGCTGGCCCATTCGTGCCGAAGCATCGCTCTCCCAAACTTAAATCATTTTACACCTTCAAAAAAAATCCTATGTGTTAGTCTAGATTATAATCTACTCCTCTTTCAAATTTTAATTTAATCCCTTCTGCCATTTTAACGTGATTGAATAATAAATATGCACAAAAATACACAAATGTATAAACTTACAATCTTTTCTATTTGTAATACTAGCGACCTGCCCCAGCTTCGCACGGGTGCAATATGCATGTATTATACATATAAACATTCCTTAAGAATCACTCTATTTATTAAAAAAAAACCGCATCAAAATCCGCTGCGTAGTAGCGTAAGATAGCGGCTTTGATTTATACTATGTAGTGAAGTAAAGAGTAAAAAATCTGTAATTTGTTTATATTAACTCGTCGAGTACCGTCATTATAGACACAATTATAGAACAATAGGTTACGGTCACCGGTGACCGCTTGGTGTTTGACAGTTTAATTAATTAATTAAAATGAGCGTGCGCGGTTGCGGCGACGTCGCGCAGCTCACTGTATGCATGAGAAAGAACCCCTCGGTGGTTCGAAACTAGTAGAGCTTTTCTCAATATATTCACGTGAGTAACCGGCGATTTTACTTAATTTAGTATGTCTCACAATGGTTATTATAAAAACATATTTTAATTAATATTCATATCTAAGCAGCCATACGTAGTCGCTCAGCTTCTATATGGCGACGCATTGTAAAATTCAGGTTGGTTGCTACTCGTGGGGTCGCTAAAAGCTGGCTGATGTCAAGTGTGTCGCTCGGGCGTCACAAGGGCTCTCCCTGCGACCTCACAAGCTATTTACATCAATTCGCAGTAGCTTTTGAGTTACAAATATGCATGATTCTTCACAAAAAATTGTTGTATCATTCTTCTGTCTTCACTTAACATAACATCACGCCTTTTATCTCCGAAGGGATAGGCAGAAGAGCACAGTATTTAATGTCACTGTACAATGTAACACCCACTTTTTATGTTATAAGTCCCATATTATAAGGGGTGACCCTATTGCCATATGCCAATTCCAGACTCCGTGCTACTAATGAGATTTTTTTAAAACCCAGTAATACTTTGCCCAACCCGAGAATTGAACCCGAGACCCCTTGCATTTGCGACCACTCGGCCAACAAGGCAGTTGTCTTCACTTTCTGTTTTAGTCTAGAACCATTGGTGAATAACTTTAAAAAAACAATTTGAACTCACGTTGGCCGCATCAGAGTCAAAGCAACCGCTTAAAAGGATATGTTTTCAACGAATGGCTTCACGCAGTTACGATAACTGAACTAAATGTGTAAGTAAAAGATAAAGAAGTATCATCGTAGTTTCTGCATCCCAAAATGAGTCAAAGACGTCAATTCATGTAAGTACCTATGTAAATGGCAACTCATCTTCCTATACCAGCTTCTAGGTCATTAACTCAGCAGTACGATCTGAGCCATATACTAAAAATAACAAGAAATCTTAACAACTTCAAAGTGCACCGCCTTCATTGCCAGTAACGATGACATTAACCTAAAGATACCGATCCGCAGATCCATATAGTTAGAGAAAAGTACTTTAAAAATTTTTATCTGACCCTCTTAAAGTAGAATCGGGCCATAAAAACAATGAGAGTGCCACGATTGTGCCAGAAACAATATTCGACGGACGAATGGCCCGAAAATGCCCGAAAATGCCCGAAAATGCCCGGTAATGTCCCAGAATGCCCCAAAACGAGCCATAGTCGACCGTAACGCGTTCGTGGACAGGCGACCATCAGCGCAACATGTCACGACCTATGTAATAAAATGTCCCTGTTCCTCTTGGGATGCACGGACTTGAGGTCTGATGAACATGCTCTGCTGGTGAGAAAGTTTTATAAAAGTACATACATACATATTATACCAA